ATGTGAATTAAGTTAGTCTTCCATTGTACTCTATGACAGTGGGTATACATAGACTGACTTAGAGCTGGTCATTCAACAGGACCCCTAATTTGGTGAGTTAATAGGGGTTGTCTTGGAGGACCAACTTACATGGGAAATGACAATAATGACAGTGGCGGCTACATAGGACCTGGGATAGTTAGTGTGCCTCAGACTTATGACCACTTTTCAACCCTTTTCCATATTTTAAAATTATCTTCATTTTGTTGTGGTCAAGGTCTATGAAATCTGGAAATAATCATTCAATTTTACATTTTATTTGTGTTTAATTTTTTTTTAAGCTTGATAAACTAAAAGGTGATAAGAATGTTTTCATAACCCTTTCTTAACCACTTTTTTAAACAGTATTTGGAATTAATTTGAATGCTTTCATCTTTTCATATCTTAAGTTTTTAAATCTCACAAAATGCAACTCACTCCTGTCTAATATTAGATCACTCAGCACACCCACCTGATGTCACTGTGGGAGAAACCAATAGAAGACATTGTCTACTCACTGCTGCATTCACTCATCAAAAGCAAGGACTCTGCTGAAACTCTGAAGCTGACCTGCCTCAGGGTGATGAGAAATTTATCCAAACTCCAGGACTACGCAATGAGAGTGAAACAAGACATTTTTTCACTTCTCAGCTTGACTCAGGAAAACATGAAAATGAAGGTAATTCACAAAGATGGCTTTTTTAAATTTTTAATGTATGTCTATTATTAAATTACTTAATGGACTTATAAACTAAAAAATGTGTAAAAGAACATTTTATCCTACATGTTTTTGTTTATAAATAAATGTACATATAATCAAGTGCCAATTCCAGACCACTAGTACATTTTAAAGGATTATAAATACTTCCTGCAATTTGGCCTGTTGCAATCAGTGCCATGTTTAACAGTTAATCTTAAAGGTACACATTTAATGAAAAGAAATCGCCTTAGTTTAACATCCAATTGCCAACATATTGCACCAGTAGGATTGTGATCATGTTGGAATGTCTATGAAAATATTACATGATTTGGTATCTAACATAAATAAAACAAATACATCTCTTGAATGTCAAAATATACAATCTTTTTTTTAAAAAATGGTCAGCACCTGCTGGTTATTTTTTGCAAAAGCTAAAAAATGAGATAAGTTTGATTATACATATTTACACAACTATTTCTGAATCCCCAATGCTGCTTTCAATGCCCTTGTTGTCTCAGTGATTTGGTGATATAGTATAACAATGTTCAATAAAGCATTTAAATTTTAGAGCTAAAGAGTGTCCCCTGAAAAGAATGTATCTCTTGTGCTTGGGTTTTTTATCTGCTTTGAATATGATTACCATAACAGTACATTTTACCTATTGTATATATTTGAGCAGTCATAAAAAAAAATGTTGATGTAAAACAGCGGTTCTCAACCTGTGGGTCGCTGGGGTTGCACAACCCTTTTCCAGGGGTCACTTAAGACCAACTGAAAACACATATGCTCTACAGTTCTGAAGTAGAAATGAAAATAATTTGTGGATGGGGGTAGCCACAACATGAGGAGCTCTATTAAAAGGTTAGGGCATTAGGAAGGTTGAGAACCACTGTTGTAAAAATTAGTTATACATGTAACAATGAAAGCCATGGAATATCTTCAACGTAGACATTAGATGTATTTCAAGACTCTTTAATTGCCATAAGAAATTTTTGATTCGTCCACTCCAGTCTTGTATCATTGTTATCACAGTTCCTGGTAGATATGGAAAAGTCTGATTTATCCGGGATTCAAAATGTGTTTTGTTTCCAACATGTCCCACAAGAGACACTCCACCTGTTGAAATATTTATACAAACATATGTTTGTTGATCTTCTGGGCCACTCGCTTGCTGGTTGACATGTTACACGTGGCATCCATGTGACTCTGTGTTTACAGGTATCAGGAATGTAGGTGCTATAGTAACTTTACTGAATCTTGAACATGTGCTCTGCTGATGTGGTCTACTGATGTGGTGGTAGCTTGTTGACATTGAGCCTCTGATCTACTTGTTGAAGTTGGGGTGGGGTCCCCCCTTGTGCTACAAAAGTTTAAGTTAAACACTCCAAGTCAAGTTTTCACATCCTATATCAATGTTTGACATTTGTGTCTGACTGTCAATGTGTGCCATTTGTGTCTGACTGTCAGTATTTGACATTTGTGTCTGACTGTAATTTTTTTACCTTTGTGTCTGACATAGGTTCCATAGTCTCGTGTATTTAAAAAGTAAAATGACATCAACAAATCCAAATTGAAATCTTCTTTTGACAAATATATTTTTTCAGGAAATTTACCTAGATATATTGCAAGGAATTATACAGAAATTTAAAGCAAAAATTTCTAAAGATGTCCTTGACACCCGACTACTTCCTGTGTTAACTTCAATGTTGATTCAAGGACCATGGTAGGTGGAATTTTATCCAATGATGTTTCTTGCCACTTCCCTCCCTTTTCAACCATGTTGTGATGTAAGCCAAACACGTGTGCTATAAACATTTCTTACACAGTTTCCTTCTGAATTATTAGAGAAAGTGCCTGTCTTTATTTTTAATTTGATATGCACTCTGCACTTTAAATAAGAACCTCAACTGAAACTTTGTGAAAAGGTTTGATATTTTCATGATTAACACTTGTCCTTGACCCCCCCCCCCTCCCCCCACCCACCCTTGTGAAAATTTCATTTAACTCTTTACCCCAACAAGTGAAAAGGTTTATATACATATATGGCCAACAGGTGGGCTGGAGGTAATTCAGGTGGTGATGGTATGAGAAGTGAGAAGCACATCTGGTAAAAAACAAAACAGAATTTCCCAGTGTTGGCATCTCAGTAGCGAAGCGGGGAAGAGAGCTTTCCAAAAAACTATAGCGGAAAAGTCAATCAAGAAAATCAATAACAAGACGACTGTTAATTTCCTCACAACCTAAAGGCCCATGTACTTGAGGAATTTTAATGTGTGTTATATTCCCATAAATATATATCAGAATATATAAATGATGGGTTGAAGATCTAATTAATGCTTTGGATTTTGCCATTTAAAACATAAAAGTGATATTTAATCATCAAATCTAAGTACTCTTGCTACTGGGGGAGTTAAACGCAGTGAAATGGATTAAGTTTAACGGGATGTGCAAAGCTGGAGTTTTTAAAAGAAATGTGTTGCTAGGAATCTTTTCTGACTCCAATTTTGTTGTATTTCAACAGCAAAGTTCAGTGCCAGAGTTTAATGTTGCTGACATGCCTGGCTGAAGATGAAATCAGTAGAGCCGCTATTCTGTACAGTCCGCAGATAGTGGCCTTGTGCACCCACTGTAATAGAAACTCCATGTGCAGGTAATTCAATATTTGGTGATTTCCCGAGACAATCATAATTATCTCATTTTATCATTAATTTGTTTCTTATATAAATAAATATGAGACTAATCAGGAGGAGGTACTGCTAACAATTGCATTATTTTACTTACTCCGGCTTACAAGTTTTAGTTTTATAATTATCAAGTAATTTGCTCAAGAAAACCTGTGTGATATAATTCTTAGGGACTTAATTAATTCAAATATATTACAAAAGAATTCCAACCAAACTGGTTAACCGTAATATTTTTTTCTACAACTAAACACCATTAGTCCTAAAAAATATTATTTTATAGCTTTTTCCCCTGCATTCTGGCTTAAACTTTTTGACCATAGATACAACTGCACACAATAATGACTGTATACGAGAAAATAAATTTTTTGCGCTGCATGCTTTTATTTAAAACGTACCATTTTATTATCAAAATAAGTTTTTTTTAACCTGTATAAAAGGCCCATTAGAGTTGATAGGGAAAATTTGTAATGATTTAATTTCTTTCTATCACAGGAGAGTTACTGTCTTCAGCTGCAGTTTGTTGCAACAAATGTTGAATGTCAAATCTATATCAGATGCAAAGCAATTTATGTCTTGTGTTGCAGGTGAGCTGTCCACTACTAATAGAGCCAATTTTTAAAGCAGTACATATCAAAGTATCAAGAGAAGTTTTGAAACTGACTAAGTTTGTGTCACAAAGTTTTCTGGAGTTGTTTTTTTTTCTCAACATTTTTATTATATTCAGTGACAGAAAAACAAATTAAAACAAGGTATAACTAAGCAATCTTGTCACCCATCTGTTCTCATCCCACAGATTTTTTATCTAACTAAATTAATCAGATATATGTCCTAAATTAGAATTCAGATTAGCATATAGCAGGCTTAGGTCTGTCATTTTTAAAAAAAATTTAAAACAATCTTTTTATTACAATGAGATTGGTTAGTAATAATTGTTTGTTTTATTATTATTTATTGTTATTAATATATAAAAGTTAAAATAAGTATTTAAAGAAACAATAGCTTACAAACAGCAAAGTAATGTGATTCAATAGCATTATCTGAAGCAGGGGGAAAAATTTGTGGATTTTCATTTGTAGGCCTTAAGTCACACAACAATATCTAAGAACTTTTTAGTTAAACTAAATTATATTTTTTTCATCAATATTATTGCCTTTTTTGGTTTTAAATCTCTTTATGTTAACTTATTGTACAGATTCTTCATTTATTTTAAAATTATTTTACAGGTTCTTTATTTATTTTAAACTTTTTGTACAGATTCATTGTTTATCTTAAATTTATTTGACAGATTCTATTACTATGGCACAAAGTAAAGAAGGGGAGAAAATGAGAAGAAAAGATGTAAGACTGAGTTCAAGCTTTAGAAAAAATTGCATGGACTGTGAGCAGTGGCAAAACTTGGATGATCTCATTGACTGGCTTGTTCTACTTTTGGAAAAACAAGGTTGGGGCAACCGGATTTTCAAAATACAGAAAAATTAATAGTTTTTTTATATTTATAAGTGAAATGTATAAATGTAAATGGGGAAAATGGGAAAAAGATTAACTTTTTTAATTAGGCTATTTACAGAGGGATGCAGACTCCAATCGACTAACGTGTGATCTAAACATTATTGGTGACATCAACAATGATCAGCTGACTTGCCTCTCAGCTGTGGTTGGCTGCTTGAATAATTTATGCTCATGGCCTCTGAGTCGCCCAAAGACCACCAGAGACTACAACCATGTCTGTGATGATTTTTTCACTGAGGAAAATTTCAGGTGATTTCTTCCATCCCCTTGCATTATGGTATATTATTATTATAACATTGTAGGATGCTATCAATAAATCTGTTTTAACTTATAGGGCTAAGTGTTGGTGTTGTGTTTTTGTTTTTATTTATAAACCAAATTTATTTTCTGGATGACATAAATATGTCTACAAAAATATTTTTACTTTCAAAAAAAGAGTTTTTGCTTTTCCTGAGGAACTCACTTAGCTTTCACTATGAGGAATGCACTTAGTTTCTTTATTTTACTTTAGGCAGAAATAATGCAGGAAGTTTGTAACATTTCAAAGTTTATAAAAATCAATATCTTTATCTAAACCAATGCTGTCAACTTTATCAGAACATGATATGCCGCTTACACTCGATTATATTTGACATTATTTGACATTTATTTATTTTAAAAAATCTTCTTGAGGTCACAGATATTTATAATTAATTTGTCTGGATATTTTGACATATTTTTTTTAAAGAGATACTTCTTTGTATCTTGACACTTACTTTGCATGCCTGACTTTTACTGTACTGAAATTATTTTTTTTGGCTTAGAAGTCAAGTTCAAGGCCTCAGACACCACCATGGTGTTTACTTGTGGGAAAAATCTGGGCCTAAAGTTATGGCACTGTTCAGACAAATTGCTCAGAGGGTGGCAATGAACTGCTCAAAAAATACAAAGGCCAATAATCCAACTTCAAAAGGGGAAGAAACCTCCAACTCAACATCACTGCTAGGAATATCTCAGCAAGAAATGGAACTTTTGAAACAGCTTCTCAACTATCTCACTCTGATGTCTGTCATTTCATGTTCTTTTAAAAAACCACCAACCACAGAAAAGTGTTTGGACTCCCATGAGGGAACCAATCAAAGCTCAAAGAAAAGATTGAAAGAGGAACTAGCAGAAAAACAAATTTTTGCTGAGAAGAGGATTTTGCGGCGATCTTTAGTGGAAGAGGGAATTTTTTACTTAGTGGGACAAGTGATGCCACTGAATGATGTTCACTTAAAGGTATGTGACGGTGTTGTAATAATTTATGTAACGGTTTGTCATAAATTATTTGTTATGATCTCCTTCATATTGTCCTTTTGAGTTCTGTTATTCATTCTTAGATAAGTACGTAATGCCTATACTTTTTACATTTTTAAATTTTTATTTAAAAAATGCCTCAACAGATTCAAGTGTCAAATAATTTTTTATAATATTTCTTTTTTAAAATTACAGATTATGGGTACAACAATTCTTCGTCTATGTCTTCAGCCAACAGATGGTAAAGCTGAGCAGGTTGCCCAAATAAATGCAGTAAAAGATAGGTATAGCTCATAACGATAATGATGAATCATATTTTCAGTTTGTTTTCACAGACAGCAGATTCATACCAATGATAGGGGATTGGGGGGGGGGGGATTTGCCCATTGAACATGTAAGTTAGCTGAGGGGTTTGAATAAGGAACTGTAGTAGAGGCTTGACGGGCTAGCAGATCAAGTATATTCTTTGTTATTATTTTCTTTATGATATATCAAACATGTGAGAAAAGCTGCTCATTAATTGTGAATATCTGACTTCTGTTAGAAATGTTAAAAAAGACATACACTTAAGTAGGGCATGTGAATATTTCCTATGGGAGTATAAATATTAATGTATGTGTACCGGGTATGAGACATGTCACAACAGAGATCAATGTTTATATTTGTTTGTGGAAACTCATCTTTTGTTTTATATTTTTATATTTTATGTTCAAATCTCTTTTCACTTTACAGTTATCTAGTGTTTCAACTGACTTAAGTCAATTGGATTGAAAAGAATTGCCCAAAAGATTTGAATAACTCACTGATACTGAAATAGAAATGTGATTAAATAGTCTGTACTATTTTGTAAAATCTTCAACTCATCAAAATTTCAGCCTTACCTAAATCAAATTTAAAATTCAGGTGCACAATTATGTCAATAATATCTTTTAGTTAATTGTGTTCAAAAAAATAAAAAAATGTTTAAAAGATGTTTTTTAACCAATTTTTGAATTTTTGTTCCTCCAATGACCAGACAAAGATCACATTCTACCACCATGCCACCCAGGCCCAGCTCTGCGAAGCATGAGGCTCAGAGAAAGTACAGCATGGACCAAAGACAACTGAAATTAAAGCAGAGGCCCCAAAGTTCACATCCTGTGTTTTCCAAGCCTTCTCATGACACTGAGTTAAGGTCAGCAGCAGCAAAAATAAAAAGGTGAACAAAGACCATAATTTAAATTATAAAAGGATTGTTTAAAATTTTACTGCCAGGAATGTTGAATTGTTTCACTGAACATGTGCATAAAAAAAAAAATTTTAAGTTAACACTAACAACCAAAAAATCCCCCTTTCAAGTGTTGAGTTTTCAAGGCAGACAACTCCGACATCATACCAAGAATGCACCAATTATACGTGGTTCTGTCCCCTTACTCCAAGAACGAGTAAAAAACCTTTATTTCAACGTACAACTTCCCCTCTTGGCCCTATAAGACCGAAATCAGCCAATGTCAGCTGGCTTTTGGCTGACGATGTGAGTAACAGAGCTGAACAGACAGAAAATAAGGCAATGAATACTCTCAAGAAGCCAGGTAAACAAGATATTCTCTACTACTTTGTAACATAATTGTTTTTGCATAGTTATGGTTGTTCATTTTTTCTCTTGTAGACAAAGCAGAGAATATCTTCATCAAATTTTTAAAGCATTTTTATATCATCAAAAGCCTACATTGTAATTTAGCTTATGCAGCAAAGTACCAACAAGAAATGCATTTCTTGAGTTATAGGATAAGAAAATAGAAGGGAAGAGTGTTGTGTTCATAATATTGCTTTGTGAGAACTTTGTGATGTAAATTATGTGCCTTGAAATGTACAGACGTGAGACATAAGGAATGGTAAATGGCTATTGAAGAGAAATGAGATGATAGGACATAGATGTTTTAAGTACAGAAGTGGGATGATGGGACCTTGGTTTCTAAAGTAAAGAAATGGGATGCTAGGACCTAGGTTTATAAAGTAAACAAATGAGAATCTATTCTGTGATCCCTCCAGATCCAATGCCCTGTAGAGGTTACAAGAAATTTTTTATTTGAAATCAAAGTTGAAAGCCCTTTTGAAATAAAACCATGTGAGGACCACCAATAGATTACAGCTGGTCTGAAGTGCCATGGGAAATTTACCTGGTATTAATGTTGAAGAATTGATATACCGAATGGGTACCAACATGTCTATTTTTAAAGTACTTAAAATGAAGGGATTACTTTTGTTTGGCACTGTTATTTCCATGGACCTAATATTGTAAGTTGCTATAATACTTTTCCAATGAAATGGGCACCGATCTGTTTCTTACAGGTACAGTGCCATTTTCTGATTACCCGTAATATAAAAAAAACAAAAGTCATTAAACACAGGAAGTAACTCCCTGTTTTTGTACAAGTTAACTCCCTTTTCGTACTAGTATGTTTTTAATAAATAAAACCATGCGATTGCCGCTGTGTTTTTGGTGCTTCCAAACCTTAAGTTTATTTATCACAATTCTTCTTATTACAAGTGATATCTAACACAAGGGACCTCTTGATGTCACCCCTGAACCCGGGCAACAACATTGTCGCCGACAGCTGCCCCAGGGTGCTGCTGGCTGCTGCCGGGGATATTCTTAAGGGAATCTTCAGTCCAGACAAACAGCTCAAGCGAAACAGTCTGCTTTTGTTACATGATTTGGTGCTTCATGGGAAAGTAAGTCTATTTATAGAATCCTGACAAGTTTTAATCTGTTGTGTAGTAATGAGCCCATTTAGTTCCCAGAAAGAAAGAGCTACAACAGTGCTACTGCTTAGCATGTTGTTAAGATTTCAAATTTTGTGATGTAACATGTAACAACATTAAACAGTGCAGTACTTGCAAATGGAAGTGTTCAAGAGCTTATATTTAACAATAATTTATTTTGATTAGTATTTAATTTTTTTACTCGTGTAAAACTGTGCTCACTTGTACTCTAGTCAAATAGAGGTAAAACTGTGCTCACTTGTACTCTAGTCAAATACAGGTAGAACTGTCTTAACTGTTAAAATTTGTTTCTGTTCCCAGAATGAACTACATATGGAGCTCTCCAAACTTGGCTGTGTTCCTAAACTTGTTGATTTCTTGAGAATCAACGATGATGACCAACTGATGGAGATTACAGGTAACAATAACCCAGTTTTTAATTGATATGAGTTTACCTATTTTTTATATACTATGGAGGTGAACTGCACAAGTCTGAATCAATGATTTTAAAACTCAAGGTGTATTGTAAATTTTTAAAAAAATCAACTGAAAAATCTTTATTACAAAATTTAAAAAAATTATTAGCAACAAAATAAAACATATTAAAACTGTTGAATCATCTTTCCTTATTCTGCCTGCTTCATATTTACAAAATGGCCCCAAGCATACAGAAATTGCCAGCATTCGTATCTGTCAAATATTCTAGTTGTTGAATATTTGGCTCATTGTCTAGGTTTATGAATCTCGCTTTTGTTTAAATGTCTTGTAAATCTTGTCACACAACAGACTAGGTTGATTCAACAAACAATACGCTTCAAGGTCCATAAGTCATTTATTTGATGACAGCATTACTAGATTAATGCGTATCACAGTTAAGTGAACATGAATCCAAAAATATATGGCAATATTCCAATCAGCAAACATATCCTGACATCCACTATCTCCAAAAAAAGGCGTCTCGCTGTCGCGAGTTCTATCTCTCGTCTACCCTCTGTGAACGTACTCCCCCTTACTCAAACAGTTGTCTCCCCTTTTATACCCCAAATCTCATGCCTCGTTCACTCCACTATCATTCGCCCGTGACATGAAATTAGTTCACAATCCGCATTCGTCCTCAAATCAACACACACACACTACCTCATGATTTCATGACCTTGACAGTATCCATATCTAACCAATACTTCCAGTCCGGCTATCATATGCCTTCCAGAATTACATTATGTCCCTAAAATTAGACTATTGCATCCAGGCATGACCATAACACATATACTTATATTACATAAAGGTCTGACCATTGCACGCATACTACTGTCCAGTGATCGGAGGATTTGTCAACTCTTCAACTTCCATGGAGGCTCTGTGATGCTGATGGCCCTCCTTCATGACAAACCATCAGATGAGTTGAAGCAGGCAGTAATGAGCACTCTCAACACACTCAACTACAGTCAGTAGACATCTTTCATTAAATCTTTTTTTTTTGGTTGCTTTTATATTTAAAACTATTCAGTTTTTTATTAGTGTGTTTTATTGTCAACACAGAGATCTGGGCCTTATCAATTCATAAACAGCGTTTTAAATGAACGAATCATTAACGCACAAGCAAATAAACATACTACAAGTGATTCATCGGGGTGGGAGATTTTGAGTGCAAGGTGGATTTGAAATATAGTTACCTTTCTACATAGGTGAATTAAGTGTCTGGCAAAGATTTATACTTTTAATTTGAAGAGTATTCAAATAATTTCTTGTTAAATCTTTAACTTTTAGACATTGGGCGGTCTTCTTTACCTTGCTGTTTTAATCAATACTTTTGTTATAAAATTTTTCATCTTTTCAGTTTATCACTGCATCAGAAATCGCTAAAAGCTTTCAATATTATATTGGTTTTCTTTTTGCACTTTGAAAGAAGATTAGAATTCAGTTCATAATCACAACATGCTGGTCCATGTTTATAGCTCCCCCCACCCCAACCAGGTCCCTCCCACCCCAACCAGGTCCCCCCACAATGGATGTTGATCCTAACTTACCCCTGGTCATTCCCAAATCATTTGCACATGGGTTCCCTAGCTACTAATTTACCTATCCTAGCATGAGTGAAATTCATATCAATCTAATCTATGTGGATCATAATTTATGTTGATGTCAGCATTTGCCTGTCTCCTCAGTGGTCCACACAGACCCAGCCAGAGACACAACAAGACAACCAGCTGACATATGGGACCATGTGAGTAGTTTATTTGTAATTGTTTAATGTAATTTTATCATCAGTGAATTGTGTCCTTAAAGCTTGATAATGCCAGGAATTGACTTTTTTTTTTTAAACTTAAACTAAAAGACTAAAGAATTTCTATCAGACCTTCTATAATAAATTGATAGCTTTTTCGCAATGGAAACGGTCATCTCCTGACATTTACTGTGGTAAAGGAGATACAAAATACTGCAAAGTAAATAAACATGTTTGTGCTTATCTTATGGCTTTTGATCTATATATTTGTTGCCTTCTTATTGCCAGATAATGGAACGCTGGGAAGGAGAGGACAAAGTTGTGGATGTGCTCAAACAGTTTTTGTGATAGTTTTATGTACTGAAACCTTTTTTTGTGATAGTTTTCTTTACTCAAACAAGTTTTGTGATAGGTTTACTTAACTGAAACAGATTTTGTAAAAGGATTATTTTAATGAAACAGTTTTTGTGATAGTTTCACATTAGGGAAACATTTTGTGATAGGTTTATATTTTACTACAAGAGTTTTTGTGATACTTTCACCTTAATGAAACATTTCATGGTTGGTTTATTTTACCATACTGAAACAGTTTTTGTAGGTTTACTTAACTGAACATTCCAGTTTGTATTGCAATTGGTAGTTTTTTAATTATCTATGCAGAGAGTGCTTTGAGGTGTCAGTCGGAATTTTTATGTTAAAATCCTGGAGTCATTGTCTTGAGGGTTGCCTAACTTGATGCGGTCTTGTCAAAAACAATGTCATTTTCTCTTTTTAGTTGTCATCTACACCAGTGCTTCCCAAAATTGTATTTTCGTGACAGGTTATCTTTAAACTCTCGCTGTTGTCCCCACTAACAGTTTTATTGCCTACACTGGCCTAAAGCTGCTAACAAAGGCCTATAGGTAACATATAATAGATAAGAATTTTCACATGGTTTTCATTTATTATACTGTCATAGGCCTATCGCCAGTATGTCACGATAATCTAACCTAGATTTACCAAATTTTTCTGTTCTTCTTTCGGTGACCCGGTAATTTGCTGTCGTGACCTGAAAACGGTGATCGACACTAACACTCTTCTTTTTTGTATTTTTTCTTACCCCCAAGCAGATTTATTACTTATTCAACTCAGCATTATTACAATTTGTTATACAAATGAAGATTTGGTTTTATTAATAGAAAATTGTATGCAGTATAATTTTTAATCAACATAATTTATGTGTCATTTATTTTTTTATTTTTTTGTCATTGAAACTTTTTTTTGCCACTTTTTATTTGATTTTTTATAAAATGAACCAACTGATAATTTGAATATGAATTTGTAAAAATTTTCTTTTTTTTTAAACCACCACTTGGACAAAATCTAGTGATTATTTTTTAAACTAACCAGTTTCTTACAAAATTTGAATCTGGTATACTTCAGTTTTACAAATATTCAACATGGTGTTATTTGAGTGCCATGCTCCTCACTGCTGATGTCGCGCTCAGGTTACTTCCGTAATATGGATTTCTTGAAGCCTCAAACCTCAGGGGTGAATCAACTGACACAGATATTCACATGTGTGTTCACACTGAGCAGGCACAACTATGTCTTCTGATGCAGAATGTTTGTTTATATATATATATATATATCAATATTACATTTATGTGTTAGAGCAGCATTCAGCAATCTTCTGCTGCATGTGGCTCTCTAAATTCAAATGAATAAATTCAGATTTTTCTTTTGCTTTATCCAGCAATGAAGGGGAAAATTTAAAAAAAAGAATAAAAACTTTGATAATTCCATTTTTTTAAAAAAACAAAACAAAGCTGCTGACAAAGCATGCTAAATTATAAAAATAAGACAGTATTGGGTCTGTGTATCGCCAGCTGACAATGCACTTCAAATCTCAACAAAACTGTGCAAATGAAACTTGTTGGTCTTGTTTTTTTCACAAAGATTGGCTCGTGGTCACAGAAAGCTGAGAATTCCACTAACAATTCCTCAGTGCGAACATATCTTTAGGGCCTCAATAAGTTCATACATCTAGGACAGTTATCCTGTTAAAGATTCCTACATAACCTAGCTGGCTTGACACAAGCAAGGAAGTCTCCAAGGGAGAGCACCTAGTCCAGTACCAGGGTTTCATTCAACATATCTGAATTTCCTGAAAAAGCTTTTAAATTAGAATTTATTAAATTTCTGACATCTGTGTATCTATAAAATGATACATTTTCCACTGCAGCAGTGGAATTTATAAAATTCTCAATTTACATTGGAAATTTTATTTATATTTAATTTTTGATATGACAAGTTATTGTGGTGAGTACAAATTAGAAATGTGGAAATAACATGCATGCCAAATTCATTAACAATGCCAAAATTCCTTTAAAAATGTTCATTTAAAAGGATATTTTCCTGATTACATAATCAAGAAAACCTTATAAATTATATTGTGTATCCGTCCAAAGAAAACCAAATGTTTACACTGCTTTTTTTTTACCACACTTTGACTAGCTTCATCTAGTGCCAGTTTAGGCCTGTTTTTTTAGCCTCAGTCTGAAATTTATTTCTGCTCTGGTGCTTTATTGTATTGCTTTCTTATACTATTTCTTTATTCTGTGCTTTTAGACTTTCTACAAGTTTTTATTGAACTGTGTTTTTAAATCTATTTATAAATTTTAATTTTTTTTTAAATTAATTTTCTTTTAAACATTTTTTTCATTGTTTATTTCATCACATTGGTATTATTTGCCAAATAAGCTGTTTAGTTATTGCACATTTTCTAATAGTAGGCCTTATAATATTTATTTTTTTATTTATTTTACACTGCAATTTCTGCTTTCACCATCATTGGCTTTATTTTCCTCTGCAATATTTTTTTTGGGAACTTTTTGTATCTTCTTATTCCTTTTTTGAAAATTGTGTTCTATGATGTTACTTTTCTAGCACGATATTTTTTGTTCAAAAGAATATTATAAAGTCGTTTCACAAGTCTATATGAATAAGCAATTTATTCTCTTTATTCTCAAATATTCTGTGTTGTTACTTTCTGTTGAAATTTGTTACAAATAAACAAACATTATACCCTCCACCTGTCCTTGTCTTATAATGCTGCATATTAATGTCCCACATACTGTACATGAGGTTGGAAGCTGAGTGTAGCCTTCAATGAATATAAAAAAAACGTACATATTTTATATGCACGCATATTTAGGCCTACATTTATGCATACATTTATATCGGTAGCTGCACAAGGTGGATTGAAAAAAGAAATTAAAAGGGGTGGGGTGGGAATCCAGTGGAGAGGACCATGGTACTGATGGTTAAGTAGATTATTTAGACTCTTATAATGTTTCTTTCATGATAATCTCTTAAATCAGGCCTGCACAACATGCGGGCCGCACGTGGCCCGCCAGCATCCATGTGTGGCCCATCGAAGTAACGAAATATTCTTTATTTTTATTATTTTCTTAATAGCTTTCCCCCTGTCCTATTTTCTTTTAGCCCGCTTAAGTTCTGTCCTATTTATTACGGCCCGCACAAGTTGTTCATAAAGTATTACGGCCCGACTTAGATTTTGAGTTGTGCAGGCCAACAGGTGGAGAAAAAAAATAGGTGGGGGGTGTCTTGAATCCAATGACACCCCTCCCCCATTCCAATGAAACCAGCATAATAATAGTTATTGAAATATTTCCATTTCGATATTCCTTATACCCCCTATGACAGCAGTAGTGTTACGAGGCACATTCTTGCACAAATCGTTCTTTCACTTTTAATCCTTTACAGATAGTAGAGAGTCCCCCAACCCAACCACTCCCCATAATTTAAGTCATCCCGCATTTGTTGAGCATCGATGGTCACCCTGGCAAGAAATGTCAACTTATACGCTTTTCTTCAATGCTTCGGACGCGTTTAAAAATAGATTTCATAAACCTCATTAACTAGCTATTGTCTGACCTGTTTTGTGTGTGTGTATCTGTCATATTTGTTCTGGGTGTTGTAGGTTTTTTTTTTTCAAATTAGTATGAGTGTCCGGGGGAAGGGGGGGGGGGTTGAAAGTAAGTCCTTGTAAGAAAGATTGTTTCTGTTGTGCGTCAGTAATGTAGGCCAGATTCCTCTGCCGGGGTAGACCATTTAAATTTGTAAAAAAAAAAAAAAAAAACTGCAATGAGTTACAGTCTGTCCTGACCCTGACGGGCCTAGAAGGTATTTTATAGCGGAGTGCTGACTAAAGGTTTACATTATG